GACAAACGACAAACAAAAAAAAAAGGGAGGGTGGGTGGAAAGGGGGAAGGGGGGGGCACAGACAATATTTTATTCAATCGCCGTTTGAATAAAAATATTGTGTATCATAATCATACCGAAAGGAAACCTCTTGCAGAAAACGACACGAAAAAAGAAAAGAAAAAGAAAGAAAAGAGAGAGAAAAAAAACCAACAACAGTAAAGGAAATAAAAGGCCACAGTGAAGTAATAAAAATGTAAATAACTAGAGAAATATATATATATATTCAATACTCAAAAGGAAAAATGAGAATCAGTAGCAAACGCTTGCAACGGTCTCGATCTCGAAACGCTCCCACGGCGTTAGCGGGACATGCAAAATTGGAGGCTGGAAGAGATGGAGGGGCCAGGGGGCACGGGGGGCCCTCGTGCCGGTGACCATGGGCACGGGGCAGGGGACACTGGGGATGGGGACGGGGGGCCCCGGGGGATGGGGGGGGGGGCAGCGGGGGTGCTGGGGGGGAAGGTTCCGGCTCCCACCAGCAGGACGGGGCCCTGGGAAGCGGCGCGTCCTGTGCTGGAAGAAAAGGGGAAGGGAAAAAGGTGGGAGAGGATGGGGGGGGTGGGAGGGGGCCAGGCTAACACACGAGTACACAGGTTAATCGGAAACGAAACGAGAGCCGCAACTCAAATCGCCAGAAAAAAGCAAGAGCGGCTCCGAACGACGACGACGACAGCAACCAAAGAGTCGTGATAAGAAGAAAAAAAGAAGAAATAACCAAAACAAAAAAGAAAAAAAAAAAGGAAAATAAAGAGAAAGGAACTCAAAAGACCCATGCAACCTTCCGCATCGGCTGGTGGCTCCGCGCCGGCGCTGGCCTGTGGCTTGGGGGCCACGGGGCCGAGCCAGCCCGGGGACGCCCCCAGGCCCACAGGCCACCGCCTCCTTTAAGACGTGTGTGCGCAGGTCGCATTTTGCCCTCGGACAACGCTCGCTCCTGTCTCCTTTGCCTAGCGCCAGCTCTGGCTTCACTCATTTATGCATTTTTTCCCCCAAAAGTCGTTTCTCAGTGCCAGCTTGGGGAGGGGGGGGCGGGGGGAAGGATGGCAGCAAGGGCAAGAGGACAAGGAAGGGGCTACTTACACTTCACCTGCAGGATCTGGTCGCTGAGGTTGGCCTGGATGTAGTAGGTGCTGTAGGGCGGCAGGACCAGCCCCAGGCTGCAGAGGGAGAGGGGACACGGGCTGCGTCGGGGCCCTTGGGGACACGGCGCCCCGGGGACAGCTTTTGTGTGAGACACGGGTTTCTGGCCATGGGGACCCCACGTTGGGGAGGGGACGGGGTTTGCTGGTGGCTTTGGTGCCTGTGAGCTTCCCCTGGTGCCGGCACCTTGGTGAGCACCGCAGGGGTGGTGGCACCTTGGCAAGCATGGGGGTGTGGGTGGCACCCCTGCGCAGATGGCACAGATGGTGACACCCCTGCATACATGGCCAGAGTTGGTGGCACCCCTGCATAGATGACAGAGATGGTTGCACCCCTGCACACATGGCAGAGGTGGTGACCCCCGGCAAGCGTGACACAAATGACAGCACCCGAGCAAGCACAGCACAGGTTCCTGGACCCGCTCTTCAGCTCGGACGTGCTGCCCCCATGCCAGTGCCTGCCTGGGCACTCGCTGCACAGCCCGTCCGTGCTCGATGCCCCCGGTGCCGGCAGGGGCAGTGGGCTGGCTGCAAGCCCCCTCCATGGGCAGGGCGGCTCCAGGCCCTCGCTCCTCCTTTCCTGCTGTCCGAGGAGCCCGGGAAATCCCTAGGGAATAGCTGGGAGCGGGCAGGGCCTCCTGGCACCGCCTAGCGAGTCTCCCTGGCTGCTCTTGCAGACCTGCTGCGAGGTGGGGATGTCATTTCAGGCCTCTCCTGCAGTGCCAGGCCCTGCCACTGTGTCACCCCTGTGCCACCCTCCTCTCTGGGGCTCAGCTGCAAGCGGGTGTCACCGTGCCGGCCACGGAGCTGCTGCTGGCCCTTCCCAGCCTGCACTGCCCTGCAGCCACCCCCGCGCCCACCCCAGCCCTGCTGTCCCCGTGTCCCCGCTGAGGGTGGCCTGAGCGCACGGTTAGTGCCACTGACCTGTAGTTGGTGCTTTTGATGGGGGCCCACGTGTAGGTCCTGAACACCTCGTCGATGTATTGCTGCAGGACGGGCAGAGCGCGTGAGGCCTTGCGGCACCGAGGGCAGCCCGGGGCTGCGCCAGGGTGACGGGCTGGCACCCAGGCACCCCCACCTGGCTGGTGTGACACTCCATAGGGGACCTGGTGGCTCTTTACCTCATCCAGGGACTTGATGAGGGTCTTGATGAACCTCTGCCCATCGTTGCCATCAATCATGCTCCTGCGAATCTAGGGTGCATGGAGGAGAGGAGGCGACTGAGGGCTGGTGGCGGCGATGCCGCGGGGAAGGGGACAGCATCCCGCACATGGCTGGGGCACCCCTGGGAGCTCAGCACGGGCAGGACCGTGTGGGGGGACATGTGCCCGCCCTGGGGACGCCACCACCGCCAGCGTCCTGCCCACCTCCTCCTTGTTCTCGTCCTCCAGCTCGGCGTCGAGGAAGTCCAGCGTCACCGGCTCGCGGAAGTTGATGATCTGCAGGGAGCAACGGGGAGGAGACGGGCAGGGAC